CCACTTCAGCATGAGTTTAATCCACGGCCAGGGAGGTGACCCACAGGGCATGGCAGACCTCTCCTGACATGCCTGCTGCTCTCCTCAGCAGTGTACTTCATCAGTCGGCCTGTTCTGCTCCCTGCTCTGCCTCTGGTGAATCTTCTCACAACTCCTGCACATCTGGCCTATACCCCAGTTCTGTATTCATAAATGAATAAATCTTAAAAAAAATAAGGAAGAGTGGGAGTCTTGATCTCTCCAGGGCCGTGCTGTGCTACAGAACTAGAATATGAACCACTTTCTAAATTTAAATGCTCTGTTGTCCATATTTATTTGAAACAGTGAAATGAAAGATAAAAATATTTTTTATTTAACCCAGCATTCCAACAGATAAATAATACAAAAATGATTGAGATGTGTTAGTTTTTTGTTGTTTTTTATTTTCTAGAACGTATTTGAAATCTTACTGCCTGCCTTAACTTGGCCTAACACCCTTTATTTATTTTTTTAATATTTATTTGTTTATTTATTTATACAAGAACTGGGGTACAGGCCACAATTGCAGGGGGCAGAGAGGTGAGAGGATTCACCAGAGACAGAGTGGGGAACAGAACAGGCAGACTGACAAAATACACTGTTGAGGGGAGCAGTGGACAAGACAGGAGAGGTCTGTTGCACCATGTGGGTCACATTCCCTGGCCGGGGATCGAACTCGTGCTGCAGTGGCTATGGATAACTTCATAATGCTGTGCTTTAACCCCTTGCGCCACCAAGGTGATCCTAACCCCATTTAAAGTGCTCAAAGACACAGCAGTTTCTGCAGTGGGTAGAATCACTTCAAGGAACAAGTATGGTTTACTTAAGGGGGCTTGTAGGGGAAAGGATGCAGAGTGAGAATGAGGTCAGAGAGAGGGAGGGAGGAACAGAAGAAGGTTGGTGCATGCCCAAGGAGGAAATGCAGTGTGCTAGAGGAATGGGGGGATGGGTTCACTGAAGGGAGGGGCAGGAACAGGCCAATGGAGAGATTTAAAGGTGGGCAGGGGATGTGGAGACAGAGCATTCCACCATATGGATCTGCAGAGCTCCCTCCCAAGCTCCACCTCAAGAACAGTGGAAATCACAGGTCTTAAGCTGTGGATCAACATGATCAGATCTGGCCTTGAAACTTCTTTGAGGACCCATTATAAAATATTTTGTTGGGCTAGAAAGGGTATGGAGAGTGGTGACTGTCAACTGTGGAAAAAGATAATTACTTCCCAGTCTCTTCCTGTACCAGCTCTTGATTTTAGAGGTAAACATGTAAATTCCAGGGAACTGACTCCATGAGGTTGGACCCTGTCTTCTCATATTGCTTTTTTCAAGAATCCAGCAATAGGTTGTGCCCAAAGTACTTACCACTATACAAAGCCTTTTGTTTATATTAAGTCTCATAAGCATCTCAATAAGGCTGCAAGATGGTATTATTCTCTTCACTTTACAGATGAGTGAACAGAGGCTCAGGAAAGTGAAATAACAGGCACAAAGCCACAAGGTCATGGAGTGGCAGTGCTGAGGCAGAACTCAGAGATCCTGCAGGACTCAGGGGAAAGCTGAGGCCAGGTGTGTCCTGGGTGGTGAGAGGATGCCCCTTTCAGAGCTGCGCCTGTAGACAAGCCTGAGACATGAGCAGAGACAGATGCTGTCTCTTCCCTTTGAAAACTGAATGAGTGATATTTTCTGGTCAGCCCAGCTTTACTTCAGAATTTTGAAGTATCTTAAATACAGGGTGTCGCTCCCCGTTATTTCAGAGTCTGTGCTAGCCTTTAGAGAGCCATGTACAACAGGGCCTGAATAACTTTGCTTGGTTCAACATTGTTCCATTACTATGCTGATTAAAGACAAAAAATTCCTAGCCATCTTAGAAGGAAAATTATTCCAATTTTATTAGACTTTTGTTACACATTGTTTTGTTATGCTTTTGTTATACATTGGCCAGTTTCCAGGAACCTATGGTGACATGAAGTGAGGAATTAATGTACTCTCAACCAGAGCGCCCCTTTTGTCCCATATCAGCCTCAGAAGGTCAGCAGTTCACCCAACTTCATTCACAGCTGGGCTCACAAATACACTTCCCCCCTTTCCCTCCTCCCTTCTTCCTTTCTTTCACTCTCTCTTGCTTTCCTTCTAGGTCATCTCACTGTCCTTAGACCTTTCACTTCACTCTGAAAGTCTTCTGAGAGCTGTGATGATGAGGCCATTATACAGAATAGAAGTGAGGCCAGAGAACACACAGGATTGTTTTTCTCTCTCACACCTAAGGTCTTCTGTCTGCTTTCAGTACCATCAAGTTCCTTCCCAAAGCCTGTGTAATTTGACATTGGGATTTATTTTGCTGGCTTATTGGCACTTCAAATGCCTTCTCTAATTGGCATCTGTTCCTACTGAGATTCTTCTTCCATTGCATGGCAAGTACCCCCTATGGAGACCCCATTCTTACCTTTTTCCCAACATAGCAGCAGGTATGTCTTTTGAATGAAGATATCCCCCCACCAATAAGATTGCCTTCAACTAGTTCTGTGTATATGTGTGTGCAGCTATGTACACAGACACATGTATGCATATATTTTGATGATTTGAACACAAAATCCAAGTTACTTGAATTCTTGTTTTCTAAAATGAATAAATTAATTTTATGGAGCATTGTAAGGACTATTGAGATTATACTATATTTGGAGATCAACATCTGTTTCTCCTCTTTCTCTATTCTTCCAAACATCTCTTTAGAGCACTGCAAAGAATACAGGTCAAAAGTACCTAAGAAATCCCTGGTCTACAGCATGTCTGCCCTTTATTTTAAAGCACCTTAAATATATCCTTATCATACGCAATGCCCTCCAGTATTCTAAAGGCCTTTGTTGCATAAGTACTTTCTCCATTCCATGGTGGCTTATCTGACAGTTTCCCATTTACCTTCTACTTATTATTGCACTCGACTTTGAATTTTAAAGCTCCACTGTGGTTTGAAAAGGACTTAAAGGATATTGAAGGACAAAATCAGAAACCTAGATTAGCAATTACTATAAACTTGCCAGAAAGTAAGATTTTTTTTCTATTTGGAGCAAAGTGAAGACTTGAGGCTCAAGTGTAATCCAAATGCATCCTATAATGAAGTCCAAATCCTGGAAAAGTGTCTTTATATTTCATTCAACTCTGACTTCACCATTTCATTCTCACTAACTGAAAATATTCCTGGGATGATGCCTTCTTTATCTGAATTCTGGGGAAATATGCCATCATTAAGCTTCATTTAGGCTGAATGAAAATTCATTCTCTTGCTGTCTCCCTCCTGGCTGCTTTTCTGAGCTTTAATCAAAAGCAACAGTGCTAGGCTAAGCACCATACCACCTGAGTCTCTGCTGTCCCGGGAGGTCTCTGCCCTCAGGCTAAGACCACCAGCGCTCCTCCTGACTGAAGAAGACCAGGGGCCCTGAAACTGGGGATGAGAAAGAGGCAGCTGCTGCTCCCTGACTCCAGGGTATCAGTTTTAATGATGGGATGAGTTGCATATGCTTGCCTTGCTACCCAGGAAGTCCCTGAGATGTCTAAGTGCCCCTCTTTATTTCCTGTCTATGCCACTTCCATTGTGCATATGTTCTGAGGACTCTGCTCAGTTCTATTCAGCAAGCCTGCCCTTTGTGGTTCATTTCGGCCAAACTTCACTACAGTCATAGCTAACACTGTGTAAAGTGAGCCAGCTGCCAAGCACTCGGTGCTTGGTAAACAGTAATTCATTATTTATGCATGAGTCTGCACCCTATGAAATCCATACTATTATCACCCTATGTTACAGATGAGGACACAAAGGCCCAGAGGTCAGATCAACTTACCCGGTGTTATATAGCTAGTTTTGAAGGTGGAGTCCTTTTCCCCAGGCAATCAGGGCCCTTAACCACTGAGCAGCACTATCCCTATTCTGGGTGCTGATTGTTCCACGTAAAGTGCCTAGTAAAGTCAAGCATATTACGTTTGGATTTCTTGACAGATGAGTATTGCTCTTGCACACTCTAGTCACAAAGCTAGTCGTACAGGAGCTAGGCAAATTTAATGTCATGCAGCAGACATTGATTAAGTATCTCATTGCTGCAGATAATAATGAAACTAGCCATGATCGCTACTCTCACAAAGCTCTCCATACCGAGACAGGTATTTATGAAATGATTCCACAAAGATATCATTGCAAAGTGGGGACAGAAGCCAGACAAAGGATGTCAGTGCAAGGTACCTGAAAACAGGGGGTGAAGTGGCCATATTGTGGAAGCTTTCCTTAGCACATCCCTCCGCTAGAAACCCATCCAGGGAAAGCTGGGTCATAAAGGGGGAGGGAGTTTTAGGGTGCAAAAGGGAAAAATACCAGCAGAGGAAAGTGTGTGCACAGGTCTGTGGGTAGAAGGAACAAAGGTGTTTGTACCACTGACAACAGAGTGGCACAGAAGAAGGCCTGGAAGACCCTTGAAATGAGACCAGAAAGTGAGAAGTTGCAGTTCATTTGACTCTAAAGTGATGTTTTTAAACCATATTATTGTGACAGATTCTTAGCAGGAATTTTGATTTATCTTATCTCATGAAGCAGTTGGTAAAGGCATGGCTTCCAAATCTCAGAATCAGGGTCTGTGTTGCAGGCAGACATAATTTCAAACATCCCTATGATTTGCCACCACTAGAATATTCTACAGAATCTTGTCGGCAAAGGAGATCACACAGGTGGGAGCCCCAATAAACAGTGATGCACTTTGGATTCGCAGGCATGTTATTACCCTTCAAAACTGAGCTCACTGAGATAATCCATGTGTCCCTTACGGGAGTTAATATATATATAAAGTATTCAAATGGTGTTTGCTTCCGAATACACAGCAAAATAAGTGCTATTGTTTTTATGATTCTGCCTTCCTTTTATTTTATTTTTCCTCTGGTCTTGGTCTGAGGAAAACCTGCATATCACAAAATTAGATTCATGTGTCCATCTTCCTCTTCCCTTTCAGGCCAGAACAAGATCTGCTTTATCCCAGGCATGGTGGGCCCTATATTAGAGATGACACTTGTCCCTGAGACTGAGCTCCGGAAAGCCACCATCCCAATCTTCTTCGACATGATGCTGTGTGAATATCAAAGGAGTGGGGATTTCAAAAAGGTAAAAAATGAGACTGGAAACTGATGCCAGCGTCCCTAATCCCCAGCCCATTTCCCCATAATGATATCCTCGTTCCATCTGCCTGGGCTTCATTCAGAGCTTGACGGGCAGGATGGAGACACTTATTCATGTGCCTGGGATGAGCTGGCAGATCAGATTTGGTCGGTATTCTATCACGCTTTCCTGCCTGAGGCCAAGATTAAAATGTACTTTCTTGCTGTGTAGCAGCTTGGCCCCTTTCTCAACAGTAAAAGAGTCCTACTCCTCTACCTAAGAGTCCCCTGTAAGGGTGTCTAGAGGGCATGTCCCAGCCACCAAGCTGAGATGTGCCAAGCACCTCTGCCTAGCACCTCCTTTTCTGGGATATTTTCTGAAAGTTCTGTTCTGCCTGGAAATAACTATCCTGACAGGTAAATTTGACAGCAAGTCATCTGGCCTGTTCCCTCAGGAGACCCAGTGAATTGGCATGGTAATAAGAGGCTTTCCCCAGCCTAGAAGAGTGAGCCATGTGTGTAAAATCTGAGGGTCATTGGTCAAGTATTTTCATTAAAAAAAAAATCTAGCCTGATTTGAAACATGAGGGACCATTTTCTAGACCCAGTAATTCCAGAAGCTTTTGGCAGTGGGATAAGTACTTATTTTAATAATATGTTCCTGGCAGCTTTCCACAGTTTCACCCAGTTTAGGAGGTTGGTCTCTAAGTCTGATCAAGGCGCTTTAGATGTTCCCCTCAACCTTACCATCCATTCTTCTGTGCCACCTTCATGCCTGGTTTTACCTCTAACTGGTTATTCTTCCATCGTCCAATATTTTTGCCTCTCATCTGTATCATATTCTGATATAATTAATTTAATTAAATTTCTTTAAAAGCTATAGTGTCTTCAAATAATATATCTGTTTAATGTCTTTTATTTATGACATTGATGAAAGAAAAAAAGTAGTCCTAGCCAACACTGAATGAAAGAATGAACAAAGCAACGTCTTTTGAGAACCTGTTTTCATTCATTGTATGTTATTTTACTTAAAGTATCAGTTTCCCAGAACCTATCAATAATGTTAAGTGAGGATTTACTGTACTTAAAAGGCAGCAGATTGCAAATGGCCTCCCCTAATTAGACTGCCACATGCAAAAGAGTGAAACTAGACCTCTTTCTTGCACCATACACAAAAATTTATTCAAAAACGGATCCAATACTTGCATGTAAGACCTAAAACCATAAAATCCATAGAAGAAAGCAAGCAAAAACACTCCATGATATTGGCTTCAGTGAATCTTTGGGGACTTGTCTCCAAAGACAGGGAAAACAAAAACAAAAATAAACAAATGGGACTGCACTAAACTAAAAAGCTTCTTCACAGAGATAGAAACTATCATTAAAACAAAAAGGCATTTTACCAAATGCAAGAAAAATATTTGCACATTACACATCCAACAAGGAGCTAATATAAACTTTATAAAGAGATGATACAATTCAACAGTAAGAAAACAAATAAGCCAATTAAAAAATGGGCAGAGAAGCTAAATAGACACTTCTCCAAGAAAAACAGAGATGACCAACAGGCATATTAAAAAGTGTTCATCATCACTTATTATCAAGAAAATGTCAGTCAAAAACCTAATGAGATAACATTTCAAGCCTCTGAGAATGACCCACATCGAAAAGAGAAGAAAAAACAAGTACTGGCAAAGACATGGGAGAAAAAGAGCACTCATACAGTGATTATGGGAATGTAAAATGGTCCGGCCCCTGTGAAAACCAGAATGGTTTCTCAAATAATTAAATGCACATCTACCATATGATCTGGCAGTCCTGTTCCTGGTTATTTACCTGAATAATAACAAAAATAAATATGAAGGTATATTTGCACTCTATTCTTCATCATAACACTATCAATATATGGAAACAAAGTAAACACCCACTGATAGATGAGTGGTTAAAGTAGATGTCATTTCTATATTACTAAACACTTAAAAAAAAACCTTGCCATATTTGACAACATGAGTGGGACTGGATGGGATTATGCTAAGTGAAATAAGTCAGAAGGAGAAAGACAAATACTGGATGATTTCCCTTACATGTGAACAAAAGAAACAAAGCAAAGGAATAGACCAAAGTAAACCAAAGCAAACCCTTGAAATCTGACTGGAAAAATGAAGCTACTTAGAAAAGGAAGGTGGGATGAGATACCAGTTAAGCGTGGTAGAGGATTCCTTAGAGTGGGGTGGTAGGTTTGGTATAACATATCATATACAGTGTTTTAAAACAGCGTTACCTCAACAACATAATACATAATAGAAAATACACATAGCACGAAGATGTAGACATAACACATACATGTATGTATGCACATATGTACAAACATGTGCATGTGTGTGTGAATGTGCATGTGTGTGTGTAAACCTGCCTTTCTTTAACATCCTTGGGGAGCTTTCCCCTCTCTCGCTCATTGTTTCTCTAATTGTCATCTACTAAAGTCTTACAAGTCTTAAAGCCTTAAAGTCTTAACTTCTTAGCCCTCCTTTCCAGGCCTTCAGTCAAATGTTTCAGTTATTCTCTTGAGTACTTTCTTCCACATCACTATTCTCCAGTCACCCTCATAGCTCACCTGGACTGTGTTGCTTCAGAGAGTGTCCGTCATGTACTTGGTCTTCCTGCATCTGCCCTTTGGAGTTTTCAGTTTTGCCCGCCAACTCCCCCCTCCCCCTACTCCTACTGATCCTATAAAGGCCCATCCCTTTATGAGATCTATACTCTATTCCTACATCATTTTATCTGTGTAAGCTATGATCATTATATACTGTCTGGCATATACTCACATGTGTGCATTTCTCTGTGTAGTCCTCATTCTCATCTAATAGAAGTGATGAGGAGGAAGAGAGGGAGCCTATGGAGCATGAGGAGGAAGAGGAAGGATCATGACTGCTGTTAGCTGGGTGCTTACTATGTGTGAGGCACTTTAGGTACTCCCCATAAGTACATCAGTCCATGTAAACCTTTCATTATAACTATATTGTAATGAAACATACATATCAACCCCATTTTAAAGATGAAAACACCAAAGTATAGACAGGAGAGTCATTTGCTCAAAGTCACATATCAGAAAGGGGATAGAGCTCAGACTGCAGCACAGAGATCACTGAGATCCCAAGCCCTTGCTGGGCCACCACACTGACCAGCCACTCTGGTCATTGGAATTAAATGATGGATGACAGTGCTTTAAACAGGATACTCTCAAAGCATGTTCCATGGAATACTAGTTTGTGTTCCATGCTCTGGGGGAAGATGACTTCAAGGTTAAATACCTTAGGAAAGTACTGCATTTCCTCTTTTCCTTGGGGACTTCCAGGGCATAGGAAGAGAGTCAGGGCACTGAGATGTTCCATAGTAAACAAACTCATTTAACTGCTCACATTTATCTTCCCAAGAAGCATCTATTAGATGTGCCTCTTTGCCAGTCTCTTTGAAAAACATTGTTCTAAGAGGATAGGAACACTAATTAGCCATGATGATACCACAGTGAAATGCTGTTCTCCCCCTCAGGGTGACTGGGGCTTCTCTAATCTTACAGTGCCAGTGACCTGCTATTCTCTGCACTGAACCTAAAGAGAAAGCCAGCAGAGGAGTTCAGATGGAGAGACAACACCCACTCTTTGGGGTAGAGGGGTGAGGTACAAGGTGAACCTCCAGATTGAATGAAAACAGCTTGTAATCTGCTGCTCTGTAATGGGAAAGCAAAGTCTGTGCAGTTTGTACTGTGCAGAAGCCACAAAATGCAATAGTGTCATGCATGCTCCCAACACTCCCACCAAAGGCTGCCTTAAAGTTGTCCTACAATCAATTGTGCAAAAGAAACACTCTGAGCAGCTGAGGGTGGGTGATGTCCAAAGGAGATGGGAGCCAGAACTCTTCTGAATAAAAGTCTGACAATTGTATTGGGTCATCTCATGTCTTCAGAAGCTTGCCAGTGGCTTGTTTTCTCTACCCTACAGGATGCCCTTCATTTCAGTATCCCTGTGACTAATTTCAGAACTCCGTGACTGGGGTCACCCTTGGGCTCCTCACTCTGGCTGTGCATCTGTTGAAGCATGTCTCCTGATTGCTTCTCTTCCTTGCTCCTTATAGAAAGAGACAGGACAATCAGGCTGCCTAATGGATAGAAATATCAGTTTGGCAGATTCCACCGAGACTGAATCTTGGCGGGGAGTAACTTGATGAATCAATCAATTTACAACATAATATGGAAAACAGCAAATCAATTCAGTAAATATGTCCTGAGCATCTAGTGTCTTCTGGACACAGTGCTTTGAAGTTAGATAGGTTTGCTGCTTACTTGCCAGTAAGTTTAGCTTATTGAATGTTTTGTAGCCTCAGTTTCTCAGCTGTGAATCAGGCATCACAACATCATCATGAGTTCCCAAGCTCCATGAGAGATTAACTGGAATGGGCAGAACTGAGGTAGAACAAAGAAATTAAGAAGCTTAGCTTGACTTACTGGTATCAGTTTTCATTCCAGTTTTTGCTCTGCTATCTGGTGCCATCACACATGTTTGTCCCTCCCATGTCATCATCAGCAACATATGTTTGAAAAGGAGCTCTTGTCCCCTAAGCTTCACACTTAAGTGGGGCTGAGCCTCTATTAAGGAACATTCTAGAAAACAAGGTGATGAAGACAGCCAACCAGTAAGGAGAGGCAGCAGATTCACCACAGGGCTTGATGCACATAGGAGGTCCATATAGGTTTGTTCTGCTGGGAAAGGAGACCACTCTGGAAGATGGGACTCCTAGAATGCACTCCTTTTTTGCTGAGTAATGTCTTGACATGCCTCTGTGACATCTGACTTCTATAAAAGTAATCTGCAGTTGCTACTTGACAAATGTCCACCCCCGGCAGGGGTGGAGTAAGGAATCAATTCTGTCACTTACAGAAGATGTGGATGAAAATGGAATTATTTGGAGGAGCTAGAGATGCATTCTAAACTCTGCACAATGACAGTGTTAGGGGTAGGACCTGTCATTGTATATTTGGAAGGGTATGTTTGACCCTTGGGCCTATCCTAGGTCAAGTTCATCTACACCTTGAAACCCAGGCAGAGGTCCTACTTTTGCCTCTGTTTTCTCATTTGTAAAGTTAGATAATAATACACAGTTTTCTTCCTTGATTGTTGTAGAGTTTAAATGCAGTGATGGTGCTATTGATGACCTTGTCAATAATGGCATCATGATCATTGCTAACAGATATTCAGTACCAATTCTATGCCAGGTGCCAGGCTAGACCTTCTCTCAGAATCACTGTAAAGTAGGTGCTGTTTTAAGTCTCCATTCAATAGATGAGGAAAGGTGATGCGCCTCCAGAGGGCTTATTAACTTCCCCAAGGTCATATGACAGAGAGAACCATCAAAATAAGAGTCAAACTAAGTCTGTTTGATGGCAAAGACTGTGGTCATCCCCACTCCTGGGTACAGGGCTTTCCAGAAGCAGGAAGGGCCAGAGTCTGCCCTGGGTTATGCTGACTGAGCCCTTGCCTCTCATACCCACCTCAGAGGGCGCAGGCATCATCCAGTCCCACACACTCCCTGGCACCCTGTAATTTCCCTCCCTGCAGGCTCCTTTGTGGCCTTAGACAAGTGCTTATTTATCCCATCCACTCTGCTCGGCTCTAGAGGCAAGTTCATCTCATGAGAGGGAACTATGCCAGCATTCACCACTAAAAGACTCACACAAGAAAAAATACTGCTCTTCTCTCCTAAAGCTGCTTTCCAGTAACATTCAGTGGTGATTACAGTAGCACAGCAGTCATCACAAGAAGATGAGCAGACCCAGTGCACACATGAGCCGTGTGTGTCTCCAGTGCTGTGTACACAAGAGCGCTTCTGCTCCTCATAACCTCAGCACACATTCGGAGCCGCTGTTCTGCCCGTTCTCCTGTTAGTGATCCACAGACTAGGACCCACACGCCAAATCCGCCACATGGTCTTGTAAATAAACTTTTCCTGGAAGACAGCCATGCCAATTTGTTTATGTATTATCCATGGCTGCTTTTGTGCTGCAACATGGAGCAGAGTGGTTACAACAGAGGCTGTCTGATTCCCCAAATCTGAAATATTTACTATCTGGCTCTTTATAGAGTTGTTTGCCAACCCTGCTGCAAACTAACAAACTGAGGATTAGAAGGACCAGTTAAGCTTTCCCAAAGTGATGGAGGGAATGGAGGAGATTTTTGAACCCACACAGCCTAACATCAGCGCCGACTCTTGGAGTCACTGAGCTGTATTTTTTCCTGCCTAAGGTTTGGCACAGTTGACATGTAATCAGAAGAGCCCCCCAACCCCTGACTTTGGATAATTCTTGACACATGCAAAATTTGTCTTGGAAGGGGCATGACTCACATGCGGTGGCAGTCCTGACCCTCACCATCTAAGTCTCTCCCATCTAGGACTCCATTCTTACTTCCATCCTTCCTTTCTGAACTCAAGGCTCCTACTGAGCTGCTCTCTGCATTTCCATTTCCCAGCACTAAATTTGAAGAGTGCTCCTGAAACTCTGGTTAAAATAATGAAGTTGAAATCAGGTTGTTCTAAGACCTATTTTCATCTCCTGCTTCCTCAGTTTGAAAACGAAATCATCCTCAAGCTGGACCACGAAGTGGAAGGGGGCCGAGGGGACACGCAGTACATGCAGCTACTGGAGTCCATGTAAGTCCAGTGCCCAGCACGGGAGAAGCCCCCGGTAAGGTGGGGTGGGAGCTGTATGGCTTGCAATTCCAGGGGGCTCTGGGGCTTTAGGGGGTCTCTCCATCCCCCCATCTGGAGGCTCATGGGTACTGGATAAACTAATTTGAAAAGAAACTTCACATTTCTCCCTAGAATGGCTATTTCTTTGATAAAGATGGAAACGGTCAGAGAGAAAAACAATTTACTGTGTTGGGAAGTGGGAAATAATCCAACAAAATATTTACTTTTGTTTGCTCTTAGCTGAGGTAATATTCTTGTTGTTTGTCTTTCTTTTGCTTAGTTAGTCTTAAAGGGGCAGTCATTCTAAACAGCACTGATGAAGCACATGCGATGTAAGGGGACCAGAGGTAGTGCCTCCATGTATTGTCCCCTTGGGTCAGGTTTGCTTTCTTGGATCCCATGTCACAGAGGTGACCCTCAGAGTTCAGGAAAGTGTCTTGTCCAGGGAAACTTGACCAAGCTAGTCAAGCAGAAACACTGAACAGGTTCTGCCTGACTCTAGTACACAGACCTGGTAAGGAGGCATCAGAGAGTAGACAGCCCTGGATTCTCAATTTGGACACCATTTTGTTTTTACAACAGTATTGAGGTAGATTTCACTTGCTATATAATTTACCTAATGTGTACATTTCACTGCCTTTTAGTCTGTTCACAGAATTGGGCTACCAGGATGATGATCAATTTTAGAATATTTTTTGTTACCTCCCCAAAGAAGCCCTGCATTCCTTAGCTGTCATCCTCCCCTACCCCAGCCTGCTTTTTGTTTCTGGTGGGTTTGTTCCTCTGGATACTTCCCATAGATGGACCCTTACAGCATATAGCCTGTTGTGGCAGACTTTCACATTGTACACTTTTGAGGTTCATTCATACAGTAGCATGTATCCAGACTTCATTTTGTTTTTTCTCGTTGAATAGTATTCCACTGTTAATTTATACCCCAATTTGTTCTCCAGCCTTCAGTTGATGGGCATTCAGGCTGTTTCCATTTTTTGCCTATTAAGAATAATGCTTCACTGAGTATTGTGTGGATCTATGTCTTGTGTGGATCTATGTTTGCAATGTTCTTGGGTATATACCCAGGAGTGGAATTTCTGGATCATGCAGTATCTCTGTCTGTAAGCTTCTGGGGAATCACCAGACTGATTTCCAAGACTGTACCACTTACATCCTCACTAGCAATATACAAGTGTTCCAGTTTCTCCACAGCCTTCCCAGTACTTGTTAATTCTGCATATGGAATCTAGACACGCTCATGGGTGTGAAGGGACATCTCATTGTCCTTTTGATTTGTATTTTCTTCATGGCTAGTGATATTGAGTCCCCTTTCATGTACATATTGACAAATTGTGTTTCTGTAGACAAAGTTATTGGGTTTTAATTCTGGTCCTGCCAATGACCAGCTATATAAGGTCGGATTAGTCACATCTTTGGTCTCAGGAGTCCCATCTGTATAATGGGGATAATAAGCCTGCTGAGGTTATTTTGAAAACTGAATAATTCTTCTTGGTTTCTCTCTGTTACCATGTAATTGTCCACCCACCACCATCTTCACATGAGTTTTAGGAATGTGACTCAGATGTGCCAAATTTTCCTCTAGTTGCCTAGTCTCTGATTTGTATGGTTTTTGTCTATAGCTCAGATTTTGGATTCTTTTCCCAGTCCTCTTTGAATACTTTACCTTTAACAACAAATGCAAATGAAAGACCTTTCTATGACCCTGACAGTGACCCTCTGCCTTGCACATCAGGCAGCCTGGAATTCCAGCTCCCTCCTATATGCAGTCTTCACCACTGCCCAGAAAGCAACATCACTCACTCAGTGGAGGGGTTAGGGTGGGGATCAAGCTGATCATACAAGGGGAAAAGCAACATTTTGCCTGAGTCCAAGTTTGTCTTAAAGTTCTAAGCCAGGGAAATCTAAATATTGACCAGAAGTGAACCATGAATGGTGCTGGCAATTTCCATTTTTATAAGCGGCTAGGGCCCTGCAGCAGTCTTCAGATGGTCAGCAGGATTTCAGATCCTTCCTGAGTGATTATTTATAAAAAGAATCCTTAGAGGTTGAGGCAATTAAAAACAGCTTATTATGTTTCTCCAGAGAGAGAGGTGTAAATGATTTCTATAAAATTAAGCAAACTAAAGCTGAGGAGTCAGGACCTATCAATATATCCAGGGGTCCAGACCTCCTTGGAATTTTCTAAGCCTTGATTTCCTTATCTACATATTGGGGATAAAAGTCCTATCTAGCTCTTAGAATTTTTGTTCTAATTAAACAAAAATGTTAAAAGTATTTAGAACAGTTTTTTTTTTAAGATTTATTTATTTATTCATACAGAACTAGGGTACAGGCCAGAGATGCGGAGGGTGAGAGGATTCACCAGGAACAGAGTGGGGAGCAGAACAGGCAGATGGATGAAGTACACTACTGAAGGGAGCAGCAGGCGGGCAGGAGAGGTCTGCCATGCCATGTGGATCTCCTCCAGGGCAGGCGGGGATCGAACTCATGCATGTGGAATTGGCTTAAGCTTCTTAGTGCAGTGCTTTAACTCGCTGCGCCACCAGGGAGGGCCCAGAACAGTTTTTAATACTTAGTAGATAGTCCAGGAATCTTAGCACTATTATTATTATTCTCCAAGTGAGATGGTTTTTGGAGCCATATAATCCTACCTCTCTTCTATTCCAGTACAGTCATCCTGGCCCTTCCAGTCCTTCTTCCTAACCCCTAATTGGGCATCTCCGCTAATACACAAGTCCCTCTGTAGGCACACAGTCTTCTGGACTCTTGAAGGCTCAGTATCTCTGTGACTAGAACAGAACTCTTGCTTCCTGTGGTAGTTGTAGCCTTACATCTGTTCATAAGCAAAGCACATGTCTTGGAGTGGACTTCAATCTCATGTTGTTCTTATGCAATGCACAAACTATACAGACCTACACTGCATCCCATTTGTCCCTACCCTCAGAACTCTCCTCAGAGCCCACTCCCATAAGTCCACCTCTGTCCTAAAGTGAGGGTCCCACATGGATGGACTAGTGATACCCTCTACTTATCTGGATTCCATCTCCCTGGGAATATTTTCATTCCCAGGTGAGGGGGCTAGAAGTCTGAAGGTGACAGAGGATATGTATCGTAGGGCCTGAATTTCCCCCAAGCCAGTTCATTACCTGAAAGAGGACCTGTAGTGAGAGGCATTCCATACAGAGTTGAAAGCCCATTTCTCTTGGAACTGACAGAGGTATGGGCCTGTGTGCCCCACTTCCAGAGTCTCCATATTGAATGTAAATCAGTTCAAGGGTCATGTGAGTGCCCTCCAGTCCCTTCCCACTGCTCCCAATCCCCTCCCCCAAACAGCAGCACTGGCTCAGAGTGACCTGAAAGTCTTGGGAGTAGACCTGACCTTGGGTCTTTTTCTTATTCCTGATAGAGAATGATCTTTTTATTGTTACTTACTCCACTGTGAGATTCACAGCTGAGGAATAACTGTGGCCTGGCCAGGGCTGAGGTGAAAACCCAACCCTGTGTGTTTTGTATATCATCTATAAGTTGAGGATTGCAATAATGCCCACTTCAAGGAGATTTTGTCAATATTAAATAATATCACAATAAAATGGGCATAGCATCTGGAGCACAGGAAGTACTCCATAAGTGGTAGTATCATTACATATTATTGTTAGCTTTGATTTCTATATGTGCTTTCTCTGCTAGACTGACTTCCTGGAAGTCACTTCCTAATGATCTCTATATCCTTAGAGTGGTATACATATTGAATGGATGGATAGATTTATGGATGGTATAGATGGTTGATGAATGAATGACCTCAAATCAACCTACCCAGCCATCTCACTAATTCTAGACAATATGAGAAGCTTTTTATGTCATGCATAGAAAGAAGCTAAGAAAGTCAAGACTTTGTTCTTCTAGTAAACCCTTGCTTCTCAAAAGGCTAACAATGTTAGCATCATCAGAGAGCTTGTTAGAAATGCAGACTCTTAGGCCCTAGCCCAGACCTACTGAATTAGAATGGATTACAGTGCCCAGATGATTTCCATGTACTTTCACATTGCAAATCACTGGACTAAATCAGTGGTTCTAAATTTTAACTGCACATCAGAATCACCTGAACACATAGGAATCACCTAAAGGCTTTTAAAAATAACATGTTGCAGTCTAACTCTTACCCTGAAATCATTGTCATGGGTGACCACTGAGCTTTGTCAAACCTCACCACCACCCCCAGATGATTCTAATGTGACTACTGGTCTGGCCTGGCTCAGACACTCAGACCTGGCTCAGGCACTGCCTGCTACGGAGAAATCCATCCCCAGCCTCCCAAACACTGGATGAAGCTCCCTGGCATTGTTATTGGGGTGGAATGCAGGGCTGAAAGAGACAATCCCAGAGGAGTCAGGCACAGCTGTGATGAGCCAGACAGGCCTAAATCACAGGGCTATTTGCATCTCTCAGTGAGAGCCTGGAATAGGTGCTTCTCCTCGGAAGATGGATTTGTCTGATCACAGCCACAGTTTGAGACATCACCTCAATGTGCCTGGCTTAGCTTCCAGAAGGAAATGACCCCCTGAAGTCCTTGCTTTTCTCACCTTTCCCCTCCAAGGGAGACTTTGGGACTCAAACTGCCACAGGAGAGCAGCCCAATGCAAATAGTAGCCTGGGCAATGCACATCTGCTCAGGATCACCTCACCACTGCCTCTCTGTGGAGGACCTTGGACAGATAGTATTTGACTGGACTCCCACAGTCATTACTCATGACCTGGGGGATCCTAGAATGGTCACTTAACCTCTCTGTACCTGATGTCTTCATCTATAAAATATGAGGAATAATTTTTACTTATCACAATTATTTTGATGATTTCTAAGGAAAAAAATTCTGCAGTTCTGATAAGGGATGAGGGATTTATAAGGTGCAGTCATTAATCAAAATTTTAATCTTTCTGTCTCTCTCCCTGACCCATGGGCCTCCTGAGGTAGGCATGATTGATTTTATATTCCTTAATTTTTTGTCTTTTTCCTCATTACCACCCCATTTAATGGGTAGCACAATGCTGAACAATTACTAGATGCTTAACAAATATGACATTTTTGTTTTTAAAATTTCGACCCCAACATTACAACAAATGTTGCCAATATTTCAAATAACTTACATACATTTAACTTGAAAAGTGAACATAGCCTTCTGTTCCCGCACCTAAACTTCTTATCAAAAGCCATCACCAGGCCTCTCTGGTGGCCTAAGGATTAAATCTCAGCATTATTAATGCCTCTTCAGCCACTGTGGCACCAGTTCAGTTCCCAGCCAGGGAGGTGACCCACATATGGAGCAGCAGCAGACCTCTCCTGTCTCGCCTGTTGCTCCCCTCAGCAGTGTATTTCAATACATTTGCTTGTTCTGCTCCCCACGCTGTCTCTGGTGAATCTTCTCACCCCCCTGCACCACTGGTCTAACTCCAGTTCTTCTATGGAAAAAAAAAAAAAAGCCATTAAGAGTTTGTTATTTATCTTCCTGACTGATCCAGCACCTGTGTAAACACAGACACATGGCACAGAAATGCTTTTCCACTACTTGTGGCATGAAGTGGGGGGCCTCAAGGAGCTAGGAGGCAGACTATCGCTTTTTATCAGTTGTGTGACCTTGGACTAGTTAGCTGAATTCTCTGTGCCTGAGCTTTCCCACATTTCCTCTTTCCATCTCCTAAATGATGATAGGAGATTAAATGAGTTCAAGTTGGGAGATGTTTAGAATGATGTCTTGGATATGGGTCGACAATATGTGAGTTGATTAAAATATACATATATTGTTCTGAGATTTGTTCTTCTCACTGAACTGTGTATTTTATATTGAGCTTTTCATGTCAAAACAAATCTGTCTCCCATAGTTTTTAATAGCCTCATCGAACTACATTTATGAACATGCTTCAATTTTTGTAACCATTTCTCTTTTATGGACATTTAAGATGGTTCCAAATACTTCACAATTAGACACTACATTTATAGGTATTATAAATTTTGGCATACTTTTGGCGATATCTCTGTAGAGTAGATTTCCCCAGGTAGAATTGTCAGACTTGTGCCTTTACAATTTTGATAGATACTGTGAAAATTGTTACCTCTAAGAGTTGTACTAACTTAATCCCAGGCTGGGTGTATAAAGGTAATCATTATCCCATACCACTGCCTACTCTGGGCTTTATCTTCCCCCTATTTTGATGGTGGGGAAAAATTAAATACCTTTTCTAGTGTCTGGGCAAATAAGTGTATTAATGAATAAGTGACTGAATGAAGCAAAGCAATGAGCCAATGAATCTGACTTGCTTAGGCACATTGGTTGTTTGGCTTGAATTCAAGCCTCCCGACACTCGCCCAGGTCCCAGCACATGTCTTCTTCCCTGGCCATGAGCTCACTGACCCCCATCTGTGCCCACAGCCTGATGGAGTGTGCTGCAAAGCACCCAACCATCTCCAAGTCAGTGGAGAGCTTCGTGAGCCTGGTGAAAGGCCTCCTGGAGAAGCTGCTGGATTACCGGGATGTGATGTCGGACGAGAGCAAAGACAACCGCATGAGCTGCACTGTGAACCTGCTGGTACGGGCACTGGCTGGCATGTCCCCATCATGTCAGAGCAGAGTCCTGGGGGCAAGGCTGACTTTGGGCTTCTTCAGATTCTTGATAAAGAAACAGGGCTAGGGCTTGACAAAATATGGGATCGAATCCTTGCTCTGAGATCTAACAGCTCTGTCTGGAGACTTCACCTGTCAGTGCTTCAGTTTCCTAATATATGATGGGGAGGAGTAGTATCTTTAGCTCTTAGCACATCACATAAAAGGAAGGATGTGGGATAAAGGGTTAAGCATATAACAATATGAGCTTTGGAATCACACAGCCTATTAGATCTCATCCTTCTGATAATTCAGACATGAGACAAGGAACTTTTTTGAAGGTTTAATTGACTTGTCTGTTCCCTGGAGAAAATTATAATATCTATTTCAATAGGTTGTACATTCCTGGCCCATGATTAACTACGCACTATGTAGTTACTCTTCTTCTCTTACAGAATGGAGTAATACCATAAACTATAATTTATAGAAATTTATAATAGGTTAAGCTAGTTAGAACAGCTAATACCATACCCAAGCTTTCAACCCCTAGAGAAGAACCCATGGGTCATCTCTCAAACAGTCCCCTCACATGCCCATAACACATGGCTGTGAGATAGGTGGGAGCATACCTGCCATCTCATCTCACTTAAAATGAATCAGATCAGCCAAACGGCACATGACATCCATCACATCAACCACCCCCTGCCATTCCCAGTGCTCCAGAAATATAAATCTTGTCCCCACAGTTCTGTTGTGAAGTCTCTACTAACCCTACATGAACTGTTTTTAAAGAGCCTAGATATTTCCATTGATTTTTTTTTTTTTTAATCCTAAGGGGAGTTTAAAAGTACTGATTACAGCAGAAAGGAATCCTTTGCTAATAATACCACCAGGTCCAATTTGCATATAGAGCAGGAAGAGGACTTTTCGAGGAGTTTCTCAGTTTCTCTCTCTGAGCCAGGAGAGGAGAAGAAATCTTGACCTTCAACAGTCAGGCTGTGACCAGGGAGAAAACTTAGGACAGGCGTTCCATCAGCAGTTAGACCCCGCTAGTGTTCATATGTGGCTTAAACATGATATCAGGGAAAACATAGGATTGGGGAGGGGAAGCCTCAAGAGAGTTGAGGTCTGTTCTAACTATGTACCCACTGACTGAGTGCCCTGGAGCATGTCGTGTCCCCCTCTCTGAGTTACAGGTACATGGGGCGCATTAAACTAAAACATGATTTTCTCACAGATCAGATTGTGACTTCCTGACTCAGAATGTGTAAGGACTTGTTTAAAAATGCACAGATTAGAACCTCTGGTGGAAGAGTCCAGGACAACCACTGGTCTAAATGACACTTATGCTGGAATAAGAATTGGACTTCCACAGTATTGTCAAGTTTAAATGTAGAATCTCATCATAAAAACTGCTAGTTCCACACTATCGGGCAGTAGGATCTGTTGTTATCACTAGGATAGATTATTATTATATTACTATAATGATTGTTATTTTTCTGAGTTCAATCCAGGTCCCCCTGGGTATAGTATCCAAGATTTAAAAGATCAAGCTGCATTTCCTTTTAGATATTTCCAAAACAAAGCCTTTGACAAGCCTGGTAACTTAGTCTTACTCTTGGCAGCCCTGCTCTCAGTGCACCAAATAGCTCACCTGTACCCTCTGATAGGTGATAGCCTATATCCTTCTCTGCCCACTTATAGTCTGATGATATGGGGAGTGACTTTCAAGGGCAGAATTTCCTGATAGAACCATTTGAAAGTAAAGTTTTGCTCCTATTTCGAAGCCCCCAGACAATAACTAGCCCCGTTTTCCTCTCATCTCCATTACTATACCCTCCCCGCCCCCCCCCAGCCACCCTGCAAAGAAAAATACTCACCCCTATTTTTCCTCCCCTAATTAGAATTTCTACAAAGATAACAATCGGGAAGAGATGTACATAAGGTAAGATTTTTACTCTCCTGCTCAATATCTATCAATGGCCCCCTATTGCCTTTGGGATGGAATTAAACTTATGTTAACACTCAGGTCCCCTGGATTTGCAATCCTATAAATTTCCTTAAAATTCAGCTGTCTCCATTCTTCTGCAATCAACTCCCAAAATCACTTGGCATTCTTTGACCAACATGTGAAGACCTAATCCAGCATTTACAAAGCATGCACTTAGACCAGTGGCCAGACAATTTCAACAGAAAAAAAAAATAATATCACGTTGCATTATACCCATCTCCTTATAGACATTTAAAAGATGTTTATTTCAACATATCATGAAAGATTTTCTTTTTTGAGACATTAGCCTAGAGCAAAGAAATCCCTTGCCAATTTTTCTGAGAATTTCCTTTTCTCTAAAGTTTTTTTTAATTATTGTTATTTTTACTTATTATAAAAATAATAAGTACTTTTTACCCAAACAAAAAAAACTCATAAAAATATAGACAAGTAAAATTGAAAAATGAAATAAACTTTTATAATCCATACATCTTTGTATTCTTTTATATTTATGCATAGATTGAATTCTATGCATGCATTTTTTTTGCAAAAATCAGATCATATTGCTCATAATTTATTCTTTGCTTGGCAAGAATTCCATGTCAACAAATGTATTTCAATATCATTTTTAATGAAACCATAAAAATTATTTTTGCAAAATATACTATAATTTATATAGCCAATCCTATATTATTGAGCATTTAGGTTGTTTCCAACTTGTTCCTGTCATAAATAACACAGCAACAAAAATTCTTGGGCAGATATCCTTATGAGGCCAGAGGCAGCAAAGTGTATTCTACCAGAAGGTTAATGAGAATGGCACTGTCAAAGCTTTTGACGTATTCTGTCAAAGTCCAGAGGTTTCAAACCTGTATTCACTATTATCATTGCCAGTATTTTCCAATACTTAGTTTAGGAGGACTCCAGAAATAGGAGCTATCATTTGGATAAAAGATAATCATAGGTTGCCCTGAACTTGGATAGCATTTATGATATCAGTAGACATGATGTTGTAGTAGCCAAAGCCTGGGATCTGTAGGGCCTGAGCTGTTCAGCTTTATCCCTGTGACCCTGGATAAATCACACAAACTCTCTGGACCAAGTTTCCTCCTGTGGTGTGTTTCCATTCTGCCTTCTGTTCTGCAGATTAAATGAGATGCTATAGGTAAAGAGCCTGCACCTGGTTCCCTTCCTCCAACTTCTTTTCTCTCCTTCCTGTTTTAGAAACACAGATGGTAAATCCCTGATCCCCATAACCTTTGGAGATTTGAGTCATCTAGTAATCTTAGGAAAATCACATTTGCCTAAACCAGACATTGTAAATAAGGTATAGTCTGAAAATCTGTTCTGTTTGGAAGGCATCTTATTTAAAAGCAGATTTAATTGGCTGCCAAAATTTTAAAATCTAGACATAGTGCATCGAAATGAAAATCTCTCTCTTCTGAAAAAACTCAGACCATGTGGCACCTCTGGGCCTTCCTCCTGTCCTTACAACTGTCGTCCAGACAAGGTGGTAGCAGCCCCTTTAGATGGGTAGGAGAGCCCTGGTCAGGAGTCCTTTTCCATTCCCCCACTGAATTTCACCTGATCCACCTCAGCAGCTGCCCATTAGTCCTCTGGTTCAATTTCAGTCACTGGTTGGCCCATCAGGGTTCTTCCTCTGTCTTCCTTTGGGCTTTGCAGTAAACTACAAACCCCATGAAAGTAGCAGGAAGCCCTCTGTCTTTTCTCATCAAGGTTTTGGATTCATCCATCAAGGAACTGAGGGACTATGATCAGGTAGGAGGAGACAGTCCTGTTTAAAATATGTAAGCCCCATTTAGGGGATTCTAAAGGTGGACTCCACACTCCCTACAGGCAGTCCAGTTATCACTGATAACTGATCAGCAGAAAGTTAAAGTGGGGAAAGAATAGAAAAGCCATGATTATAAAATCAGAAATAACTGGTGTTGAACCTGGTTCTTCCTATTTCCTGCCCTAAGAACTCCACTTAATAGATCTCTCAATCTCCTTACCTATTAAAGAATTATTGGACTCATGAGTTTGTATACTATATAAAGCACTCATTTGTTGACCGAATGAAGGAGTCTTTCTTCCTTGGATGCTCCCCCCACTCAGATCCCAGCCCCACTGTCAGATATGAAAACCTTTTTGGAATTCCTCCTGTCCCCTCTAGATAAATCCTGCTCAGATAGTACTATCAATCTCCTTCAAAGCATCTATCACAGTTGTAGTTTTGCCTTCATTTATTTGATTATTTGATTCAACGTCTGTCTCTTCCTAGACTATAGATTCCAGACCCTCATAATGGAGTCGACCTTTGCCAATATTTATCTCTGATGTTTGGTATGTCTGTATACTCAGTATATAGCACATGTGCCATATGTATAAACCAAATTGAGTTGATTGATGGCTGATTAAGTAAAAAAATGAGCAAAAGGTCACTAGCATGTAGCTCATTAGTTATAAAAATCACTAGCAGGCCTTTTTTTCTCTCCAGATTTTTGGCATTTCCTACCCTGTGGTCAGATAGCATACATTTGATCCACCACCACATTTCATGTGCCCAGAGACATTAAGAGCTAGCTCCTCCCTTGATGACATTCTGTACAGAAAGTTAGTTTTCTACAAGTCTAAACAATGAGGCCTGCCTAGAGATAGATGTTTGAGAAGTTCTTTACCCCTATGGTTAGATAGACATGATCTTGTTGACACCTCTTCTCCAGAGGAAAGAACCAAGAGCACAATATCACAGCATCTTCCCTTCACCAGCTGACTAGGAGTTGGGTTTAAATAAATGTTTCTGATGGCATGCAGATGGCCACAGCAATGGTTCTTTGGCTCTGGATTCTGTTTCTAACCTAGGAGAAACCTAGTTCCCATTATAATAGATATAGCTGCTACCACTCAGTGCTATTATGGACTGATCACTTTAGTGCATACCACATTTATTAGTAGCAATGCTAACTGGTACTTACAGCACTTTTCATACATGGTCGGCTGGGCCCTTTCTATGCACAGCAACTTGCTGTGAGTATTACCACTTTACACATGAGCAAGCTGAGGTATAGAGGAGTTATTTCAATGCCCCTTACTACCAATCATGTATGAACTATCTAAATTGAGGAAAATTCCCTCTTCCTTTGTTTTCCTTCCTATTCTCATTGCCTCACAAATACAGTGTGATCCTGCTTCAGAACACTGGAGCATTACATTGCAAAGGAGTGGGGAGGTAGGAACATGATTATGGTAGAATCACAGATTACCCCTGCCTATATAGCACAAGGTCTTCATGTGAATATACAAGGTCTAGCCCCAGTACATTTCCTCTTCTTATAAGGAAATATTCTTTTATGCCCAGAGAACACTGTGGTTTGTTTGATCTTCCAGTCATAAAATGATTAGAACTTGGAATCTGAAGGTGATTAGCCCAGGACCACATCCCAGCTCTTCCATTTATTAATGTTTTCTGATGGGAATATTTAGCAGACCCATTCTCAGGGTTGTCTTGAGGATTAAATGACCGATGGCATTCACAGTACTTGTCATGGTACCTGTTAGGCACTCGGCACCAGAAACACTAGGTGTTGTCACTGTCACCATGCAGAGGGACTGGTCAACTAGGTGGAAGACTGTCTTGTGACCCTGAGAGGTACTCAGTTTTTCTGACTTTACCAGTCCTACCATCTGTCCCCTTATTTCCTTATCATTTGCAGTTGGTGACTAGTATGTATTCCCAAACAGGTACCTATACAAACTCCGAGATCTTCACCTGGACTGTGAAAATTACACAGAGGCTGCCTACACGCTCCTTCTCCATACTTGGCTTCTCAAGGTACTGCCCTTCCAGTGAAGGAGATTCATGCTGGGATCCCCTCAGGGTTTTCACAACAAGTTGAAGAGTTAAAAAAAAAAAAAAGTAAAAAGAATAAGTCATATAAAATTTGTTGTTCTTTGTATCCCCAAACTGTTGACCTGGCAGATTATTTTTCAGCAGTGTTGCGCCTGGTCACATAAGGTTTCCAATGACCTTCACATTTCGCGGTAACAATAACCCCCTGAGATATGTCTTCAGGTTTTATATAACATCCAAACTGTTTTATATAACATCCAAAACATCAACTATAAATTGTTAGCATGCCCAGTGAGTGAGCTGTTTTCCTTCTCTTGAAAACAGTGCTGTAGCTGGATGAAATCAAAAGCATTTCCTTTAGCTTTTGAAGAGCTAGAACCATGTCCCAGAGGGGTTCAGAGAAAATCCCTACCAGCCACATTAGCAAAACAATATAAAGTCAAATAAGCATGACCTGGCCAAAGAAACTGTAGACCAGAAACTCTCTTAAGTGCTGACAACCAGGGTGGTAAGGGAGCTTGCAGGCAGGGTTGGGAGGACATTGTCAGACTTCTCCTCATCAGTGGGAAACACACCTGCCCTAGGCAACCTCTAGGCCCTAGGTGACTCTGCATGTTCTCTCTCTGCAGTGGTCTGATGAGCAGTGTGCATCACAGGTCATGCAGACTGGCCAACAGTTCCCCCAAACCCATCGACATCTGAAGGAGACCCTCTATGAGACCATCATAGGCTACTTTGACAAAGGAAAGGTAAATTGGCCCTGCTTGTCTTCTGTCTGTGGAGTCCCTGGCAATAGAAAGGACCATCCTCTCCAACACTATATACCCAGCCCTTCTGCAATTACAGTCTCCTTCCCTCTCAATCCTATATCTGATTACTTTCCATGTTCTCTCTGCTTCCATTGAAGGCATTGTTCAGTGGACACTCAATAAGTCCTAATCAGTTTCTATTTCCCCCATTGCCTCCAATACATCGTCTTCTACATAGAAAACAGGGTGTCATAAAACAAATGTTGGATCACTGCTATTCTGCTTGTAATTATCTCACTGGCTTTCCAACTCTACTTAGAATTAAGTAAGTTATGCAATTCTTTATATGATCTGAGTGTGTGTGTGGGGGGGGGGGATGCTCCTACCAGCTATCCCCTAATTGCTCTAACTTCATTACTGCCATTTTCTCTTGTATACATGCTGTATGCCATGTGCTTTTCTGCCTCAGGACCTTTGCACTTGCATTTCCCAGTGTGGAACATCCCTCTCCTGTAGTTTTCCATGACCAGCTCCTTCTCATAACTTAGGGCTTTGCTTGGATATCACATTCTCAATTATACCTTTTCTGGACACCCAGAAAAGCATCATCCCTTCCTTAAATCACCCTCATGTCTCATCATAGCACTTAGGAACTTATCAACTTTCAGACACCACTTTGATTATTTTGTTTTCACATGTTCATTGTCTGGCTCCCTCCCTTCTTTAGAATGTCAGGAGCACAGAAAATTCTTTCCACTGCTAAATGACTAATGACTGGCACAATATCTGACATGCAGGGCCCAATAACTATATGCTGAATAGTTGATAGACTTGAATGTGCGAATGACATTGTGGTGCCATCATTGACCTCAGACAGCAAGGATGGGGTGCTTGGTTGGTATTAGTCAGGAGATTGGTCAGACCAGCTGCTGCCCATCTTCCAGACTCTAGCAGACCTTCTGGAACAACAATACTAGCTGCAGGAGACTTGGTATGGCAGCTAAGTTCTCAGTCTTTGGTGCCAGACTGGTGTGGATTTCAAGTCTTATTCCTTTATCACCTACTGTTCTTTGGCCTAAGAGACCCCAACTCCCCACCCATGAGTTAGATACCAGTAATCGCCATTTTCTAGCTGTATTGCAAACATTAAGTGAGAAAGCGCATGCTGGGGCCCTAGCAGAGGACCTGGCATACATCAATATCTTGTTAAGTTTAACTGTCGTCATTATTACCCTCTCCACCTTCAAGGGCCCAGTTGATGGGCCACTTTATCCATTCAGCCTTTCTTGAGTCCTCTGCTTACATATAGCCCTGCCTTCCTTTAAATTGCAAGGCCTCTCACAGTTCATTAAAACAGTATGTAACATTTAATTTTGGTCTATCCTGTCACGCAGCTTATTGCATCTGTCTTAGTCTGATCTCCTCACCTTCCCTAGAAAGATAAAATGAGGTAATGTCTGTGAAAGGGCTTATAAATTCCCAGGAACTGAGAATAACTGGAGAGCACTGTTCTTATAATTTAACATTATAAGCCCCTTGAGGGCAGAGGCCCTGCTGTCCCTGGAGCCTCCTCCCCTGCTAGGCTTCAAGAGAGCAGAGAGGGAAAAGGCATAATCCCAGCCAAAATGAGCTTACCTTCTAGTTGGCTAAACAGACATGACAACCATGATTGCCTTTTTGCACATTTCCTTGTGGTACACAATTATTGTGGAGGTGGGGAGGGAACAAGGTGGTGCCAAGGTACTTTGGGAGCAGAGAGAAGGGAGCAGATGGGTACAGCTCACGCCAAAAGCACTGCTATGGAAGCTTTTAGAATGAAGCCCAAACTCCTTAGCAGCCCTGAAGTTTTTAGTTTCCTTTCTCCACAGTGGGGAAAGGAAATATACAAATAATGAGCTTCTGTTCCACCAGCCCATCTGTCAGCACCTAGTAAACTCCTCTACATCCCTCAAAACCCAACTATTACTTTTTTACGTTTACTTTACCTGCTTAGGTTTAATAAAAGCAGAAACTGTCTTTTCCTCTATCTATGTGCTCCATCACTGCATACCTTGCAATGCTTAGAAGTCAGCAGGTACTCGGATGGATAGATGAGAGTCAGAGACATGGGTTACTGTTCCAATAGAGCAGACCTGGTAGAAAATCTCTGCCTCCCATTCTACTCCCTTCCTGGTCTCTTAAGACATGGGGAGCACATTTCTGGAATGTTATATAATGGCAAATTGACAAAGACCTTCACTTCAACCATATAGCTCCCTGGCCCAACCCAGGGGCACTGCCACCATTTTCCCATTCAAGCTGAAGAGAAATCCCCAGCCCAGCTTGGCATGAGAACCTGGTTCCTCCAGGCACATAAAGCATTTTTATGGTGCTCACTAAGCTGTCTGTGGGTTTACAGCCTCAGCTCCTCCACTCTGCACTTGCTTTTATTTATTTTTATGCCTGGATGCAGAGAGAGCATTTTTGCTACAAAGCACACACTGCATTTTGGCAACCTCCCCTCTCTCCTCCCCCACCTCCCCCAGCTTCTCCATTTAGGTGCATTTTCCATTTTAAACTGAAAGTGAAATGTAATGAGTGTCCCTGAGATTGTCAGCTTTCCAACCCAGCCCGCCTCCCTGCAGAGGTTCTGGACCTCCTTCAATCTAAGGAGGTGGGATGGTCTGTTGGCTTCAGCTAAGCAGAGCAGAGGAAAAGGACCTCATGTCCAAAATTTGTTTTTTCAGACTTTTTTGAAATGAGAAAGACCTGTTTTTAAAAGTTGGATCGCTCTTTTTTTAAACCCTAGTACCACCCCAACTTCACCTCTGTGCTGCCCCTTGCCCCATTAAGAAGTCAAGGGTAGAACATCTGATGATGTAGGGGTTAAGTCTCAGTGCTATCAGCATGACGACCTGAGTTCAATCTCTGGCCTAGGAGCTAATCCACATATGTTGCTGCACAGACCTCTCCTCTTGCCAGGTACTCCCTTTAGCAGTATATTTCAGTAAATCTGTCTGCTCTGCTCCCCACTCTGTCTCTGATTAATCCTTTCGCCCCCCCCCCACACCTCTACCCTATACTCAATTCTTCTATAAATACATACATACATATATAAACCTTAAAAAAAAAGTGAAGGGTATATAGTTTCAGTAATGCAAGATGAATGAGTTTTAGAGATTTGCTGTTCAGTACTGGGCCTATGGTTAATAATTCTGTGTTTTGCCCTTAACAATCTCCAAAAAGGGCTCTCTCTGTGGTGCAGTGGGTTAAAGCACCGCATTATGAAACTCTCTGAAGCCACTGCTGACCCACATGGCATGGCAGACCTCTTCTGACCTGCCCACTGCTCCCATCAGCAGTGCACTTTGTCAGTCTGCCTGTCTGCTCCCCACTCTGTCTCTGGTGAATCCTCTCACTGCCCCTGAACCTCTCTGGCCTGTACCCCAGTTCTGTAAGCATAAATAAATAAATCTTTTTTTTTAAATATCAAAAAAATAAATATTTTTTAAAATATGTATTAAGATTGTAGATCCCATACTATTTGAACAGAAATAGAGAACAAGAAGAAGAGAAAGGAATGGAGTTTGAGGGAGGGAGAAAAGAAGGAGGGAAGGAGAGAGGGAGAGAGATTGCCAAAAGAAAGAAAAGTGATAGAATTGGCAGAGTGGAGAGATCATAAGAGTGAATGCCAGAAGTAGAATCTGACTTCAACTCTGTTCCCAGAGATTCTCTGACCTTAAGTCATCTATTTACTTCTTTATGAACCATTTCTCTTTGGAAAATTAGGGGGACACCTCTCTGCCTCACCTACTCACAAAAAGGTTGAGGGAGGCGGAGATCATTTCTATAGCACTTATAAAGGCAGGGAATTGGGAGCAAGGTCACAGTAGCACCAGTTGGACAGCCTCACCCTGCTTTCTATTGGGGCATTAGCTTTGCCTCTGTGAACTCAGATTTCTCACCTGGTAAATGCAGAAGCTGTTATCACCTCTCAAGCAAGGTTGTGAAGATCTAAGAGCATGTAAACCAGGTGTTCAGATTAGTCTATGGCTACCCTACTCTTGATCAGGAGAATCAGGTGAGAAGCATGGGAAGGGTCCTGCTCCTGGGAAGCACGGGGTCCCTGTGCATGGGAGCAGATCTGGACCAGAGCGGGGCTACAGCTCAGCCCCTGGGGGGAGAGCCTGCCAGCATCCCTTCCTTGGCAAACGTTCTGCAAACCTGGATGTTCCCTCTGACCTTTGTCTCATTACCTTCCTGCAGATGTGGGAAGAAGCCATCAGCCTGTGCAAGGAGCTGGCAGAACAGTACGAGATGGAGATCTTCGACTATGAGCTGCTGAGCCAGAACCTGGTAAGGCATCAGAGACTGAATGCCGTTGGGCTGGTGCTCAGGCCTCAGCCCACCAGAGAGGCTGGGAGAGAGGCCATGCAGGAGGCCAGGTGAGCCAGGACAGCAAGAAAAGAATGGAAAGAGGACTTGGCTGAGAGTCCCCCTCCCAGAGGGAACTATTTCCAAAGGGAGGCATTTTGGAGAGACTCATCAGGGACAGTTGTTCCAATGGAACGCTAAGTACCTGCTTGGCACCGGGGTTGCTGCTGCTGCATACCCAGTGAACACTATGCTACATTTGCAGTAAAATTCCCACAAATCACTGAGCCAATTAAATAAAAACACAAATTTGTGCTTTCTGATTAACAGATAAATCACATTAAAATGCTCCCCATCTGGCCATTCCCCATTAGCTCCTCCATGCTCATGATTTGATGGGGAGAGGCTTATCCTGCCTCTGCCACAGAGACCAGGAGAGGTGGTGGCCTCTGCAAAGAGAATGCCCAATGTTTTGTCTGTTGCCCACACTCACAACCCCGACATATGTCCTGGTGACCTGAGAGCAAGGACCCTAGGGCCCATCTTTGTCCATCTACAGAGGCCAGCCCAGCTCTTTCCAGGAACTTTAAATGAGAGTCAAAATGTTGGAAGAAGATTTAGAACTTTTTTCAGAGGAGGGTGGAGGGGGCTTGGGTGTGGGGGATAGTGGCCTAAAGTGATGCCAACACACCTGTATCTGTCCCATGAACATATGCACTCAGATGGTGTGGAAGTGAAGGGAACTTTCTAGATGTGTGATCATGCACATACACAGGGTGACTACACCGGGAGATAGCTATATCCAGAGACATTACCTACCAGCCACAGATCCATGCGCATACACAAATACATAGTATGCATTTGCACACACACAGACATACCCAGGGCATATTCTTGCACCATATCCAGGCACCAATCCTACATCACACAGAACGAATCCAGGTCCAAGCCCATTTAGCTTCCAGACTGTGTCAGGTATAAGATGTCTTGGTTTGCAAGGCACAACTTTCTTTTGAATGTGCCACATCATGATTTCTGTCTGGCTAATAGCAGTCGTAAGATGCCATCGGGTATAAAATAAGATGCAAACTGTTTTCAGAGATGTTAAAATGTGACAAACACACAGCTCTTAGAGTTGAGGAAATATGTTAAGAGATATCTATACCCAAAGATAAATCCTTCATAAACACACGCCTGGGTGTGCACGGTCCTGGTGAGGGCACGGCATACGTGGCTAGGTCAGTTTCATCCTCACTGACTGCACTGTAGACACCATTTCTTTCCTGCAAAGTGGAAGTATGATAATCCTGGTTTACTAAGAGGATGCCAGTAAATGAATTGATGCAGGTAGAGTGGTTAACAAGTTCCCTGGTCTCTGGTTTATATCGACATTGCTATATCCATGTACATAGCTGCAACGTGCATTTGGCATTTTGGTTCTGGTAGAGCATTTCTTTGCCATGCCCTCTCAGAGTTCAATATGTTTTTGATGCATGTCTGTGTTGTTACATGACAGGAATTTTTTCCTTTCAGATTCAACAGGCAAAATTCTACGAGAATATCATGAAAATCCTCAGGCCCAAACCAGACTACTTCGCTGTCGGGTACTATGGCCAGGGATTCCCCACTTTTCTGCGGGTAAGTTTGTGGGTGACACAGATGTAAGCTGGGGTGAGGCCACTGGTATGTATGCTGTCTGTGCTTGGAGGACCTGCCCAGGCTCAGAGGCTATGCTCCACCATCCTAGATCAGCTCACTCTCCAAACTCCTCCTCCTCCATCATCATCATCATCACCACCACCACCAGGCCCCCCTCTCCTAGTTTTTCTAAATATACAGCACACAGTAGTGCCTTGTGGACTAGTGAGCTCCTCATCACTAGGATGAGGGGGCTCAAAGAAAGGCCAAAGGGCCGCTGCTAGCCAGCACTCAGTGTAGAGCAGCCATGCTCATTCCCAGACCTTCTGGTCTCAGAACCCCTTTTCTATCTTAAAAATTATCAAGATTTCCCCAAAAACTACTGTATTGTAAACTCTACCAATATTTACCATGTTCCAAACTAAAACTGAGAGCACTTTAAAATATTTAAAAATAATGTTTTTATGTAAAATACTAACTTACCTATTTTAAAATAACAATAATAAACTCATCACTTGTTAATATAAGTTGGGCCTTTATGAAGAACAGCTATGCAATTCAAGTAAAAATGTTGTGCAAAGAATGAAATTGTCTCACAGTTCTAGGTTAAGAACAGAGCTGTTTCCTACATTCTTCTGCATTCAGGCTGCTTCGATACCTCATGTCATAAAACCTCTGGAAAACTCCAACTCTGTACTCATGAGGGAATGAGAATGAGCCAGGGAAATAACAGCTTAGCTTTATTATGAAAAGATTTTTGATCTTGCAAGACCCTGAGAGGGCCCTGGGGACGCTTGAGGGCCCCTGAGCAGTTTCTGGATTCATTCAAGGTACAGAATTGAATTAGCTGAGCTATAGGCTTCCTCCTAGTTTGTGAGCCTCTGGTTCAGTTCTGAGGTCTGAGGTCAGAGAGCTCAAGAAATAGTGAACCTGAATCCTGACCTCTCCTGACTCTTAGCCCAATCAAGGAGATAAATTCCTCACTGTTGCCAACCATGTGGAGTCCGAGTGGGCTGGGAGTGAGCACCATGAGCAGAGGGCTAAACAGTGAAGGTCTCCTCAGTGAAATGGTGGTGACTTCACAAACCAGACTCTCCAGGGGAACATGTCTGAAATACATTTCCAGGCCCTACTCCTGTAGGTTCCATTTCAGCATGTCTGAAGCAAGGCTGGGGAGCTGAACTGTTAAGTCTCCCAGGCCCCTGCAATGATTCAGCCAGGTTTGAAAGCACTGGCATATAGTGGTGACAGCTGTGGGTTTGGGCAGAAGCACTGCAGGCCATTAGTGGCAGTGCAGAGGGTATTGACAGATCTAGAACAGGGTTTCTCACCCTCAGTAGTGTGGCATTTTGCACCAGAATGTCCTCTCCGTTGTCTTGTGTAGTAGAGGCTGTTTAGCAGCAGCTAGGCTCTATAGGTCCCAATAGTACCCCTTCCCGGTTCTAACAACCAATGTCTCTAGTCACTGCAGAGTCCCTTATGAGACAAAGCCACCCATCCTCCAGTTGAAAAAACCTGGTCTAGAGTTTCATTTCAAGGAAGTTTAAAGTGTATGCTTCCAGTGGAGCGAGGGCCAGGAACCAAATGATAAAGAAGCCAGATGCTGGCACTGCCCAGCACACCTGGTCCACTAATGGCATGGGAGTAATTTTGTGATCTTGTATTAGGGAGATTGGATGTGACGATTGAAAGTTAAGTGAGGAATTATTCTGGCAGAAGTTCTCAGCATCCACGAACTTTTCTCCCTTTGGAACCAATCTTGTTATGAAGTGGTGCACCCACCTGGAAAGCCAGTCACTCCCTGTTCTCTCCTCCAAGCTCTCAGCATTGCTTGGACCCTGTCTTCTAAGCCTGGGTCCTGCATCTCTCATGGGTGTCATTTTTCTGCAGAACAAAGTGTTCATCTACAGAGGGAAGGAGTACGAACGAAGAGAAGATTTCCAGATGCAGCTGATGAGCCAGTTCCCCAATTCAGAGAAGATGAACACAACCTCCGCACCTGGGGATGATGTGAAGAATGCTCCAGGCCAGTGTATCCTTGGAGAAGGCCCACTGGGGGCGAGGCATTGGCAGTCCTGTAGGGATTCAGCCTGCAGAGCCCATCTGAGCACTCAAGCCAAAAACCAAAAGTCCAGAAACACAAAACCAAGGGCAATAGCAATACAACACCCACAGAATAGGGCCTGTGGCTAGAGCCTAACAAAGGCCAGTGTCTGATATGAGGACAGGTCACTGCCTGTGGGTTCTCACCTGCGTGCACAATTGCAAGCAACCTGGAGCTTCAGTGATTCCTATCTAGTGTCCAGTAGGGTCCAAAAAACCCTTTTCAGGAATCTCTAAATATTGCAGTGATTGGGACATTCCTTCATGAAATGAAATGAATACGATTAAGCCCAGTATGGCACACCATACTAGAGGTTATACGAACAGTGCAGTGTCCTATCTTCAAGGAGTTTGTAGTCTGGCAAATAAAAGACATTGAACAACCATTTATCCCCCTCAATTACATATTTTTAAAAATGGGGTCAATGCCAAGAGAGTCATGCAGGGTACTGTGACCAGAAGGCAGGGAGGGCTTCCTTGAAGAAAGTGATGTTTGAGATGAGTGATCAGCTGAGTAGAGAGATCATCCTAACAGAGGGAGACACTGTCATGTACAAAGACCATGACAGATTCTGAAACCAGCAGAGAGGGCCACAGAAGGCCAACAAGGCAGGAGGCCGGAGGGAAGGATGGGACGGCCACCCACCTGCCAGGCTCTGAGACCAGAGAGTTGCCAAAAAGCCCCAAAAGGCCAAAAAGCCCCAAAAGGCCAAAAAGCAAAACCAAGTAATATAGCAACACAACACCCACATGATGGCTAGAGCCGAACAAAGGCCAGTGCCTGATAAGAAGACAGGCCACTGTCTGTGGGTTCTCACCCATGTGCACAACTGCAAGAGACCTCAGGCTCCAGGAACAACCACCAGGGGGTTTATTTTACAAACAGGGGAAACAAAGATCTCACTATAGCCACGGTATTGGTCGCCACCGGTCACCAGGAGTGCTGGACAGCACTGGCCAGTAGTGATGGCCACTGCTGGTCCCACAGAGGCAGTGTTAAAGACACCGTGTTAACAGGGTGTGTTGCTGGGTGACACCACCAACAACGGCCCTCTGGGACACCAGGCCCAGGGCCTGCGGTGCTCCTCTCAGGCAGCTCAGAGACGACCGGCTGTTCTCCTCTGGACCTTTGCAGGATCTGTGCCATCTACGTGGCATGCCCTTTCCCAGCTCCTTTCCCATTCATCATATCCTGACTCGATAAGGCCTTTCTGGCCACCTAATCTAAATGGCCTTTTCTGAACTCTTCATGACACTGTAATCATAAATCCCCTTTGTTTTCTTTGGAGATCCGTCTCAATCTTGTGTGCTTCCTAAAGGTATACCTAAGCTGGACAATCAGCTCCATGAGGGCGGAGACTTACTTTGCTGCCTTGTTCATCTTGGTGACCCTCATATCACAATGCCTGGCACAAAGCCAGCTCTCAGAAAATACTTGTTGATTAATAGAAAGACAAAGAAAACCAAGAGCAAAGGAAACAGAAAGAGGAGAGACACATAAAGAAAAGTTAGAATAGAGGCAGGAAGGGAGCCAGTTCTAAGGACCCAGAGAGAAGAGAGGGGAACTACGGATGATGCTAATGAGGACAGATAGGATAAAAGGAGGAGGTGGGGGGTGTTCGCAGGGCTCCTGGAAACAAGAAGCCTATAAACCCAAGGATAAGGCAGCTGAATGGGGGGGCACGTTGACCTAGCCTGACTCCCCACACTGAACCCTTTAGCACAAATTAAGTTACAGCCTTTAAAATGGGCCTGACATGTTGCATGGCTGGTCGGCTAAGTCTGCTGAACCTTAATCCAAATATTTTTCCCTTGGGTGATAAATATTCATCTGTAACCTTTTCATTATGCTCGCCTGCCCTTCCTGCCTGCTATACCATGGTTATTTGCAGGAGGAAATACAACTGTTGGAGGGGATGGCTGGTTACAAATGTTGAATTTGGTTACAGGCGAGACACGGGATTAGTAGGAACATCCTTCTAAGTGGACATCCTTGTGCTGAACAGCTCTGTGGCCTTTTAACTTGCGGAGAGAGTACATGTGTTGCTGACCCCTGGCCTCAGCACGCGGTGAGGCATCCAGCCTTGCAGTATTGTGGCGTTTGGTGTCTCTGGCTCCATCAGGACAGGTTTAGAGTCTCTGCGTGGACCAAAGCCAAATTTGCTAAGAACTGTAGACATGATCTAAAACCTTCTCTAAACAGGAGTTGGAACACTTTTCTGAAAAGGATCAGACAGGAAACACTTTAGTCTTCGTGTGTCAAAAACTGCTCTCTGCCACAGTGGGAGAGAAGCCCAGGGTAACACACAAAAGGGTGGGTGTGGCTATGTTTCAAGGAAACATCGTTATTTATGAGCTCTGAAATTTGACTTTCATAGAATTTTCATGGTACAAAAAAAAAACATTATTTTCCCAACTGTTTAGAAATATAAAATCTACTCTTAACTGTGGGCCTAGGAAGAGCAGGTGGTTGAGTCAGATTTGGTTATTGGGTCAATTTGCCAACTCCTGCCCTGCCCCTACTTCAGTGTGGTCTTCCTCCTCAGAAAAGCTGTTGATAATATGATTTGAGAAAGAAAATGATTTGCCTGAATGTTATAAAAGCCTTCTCCAGCGAGGTTTATTCATTTGTGTTAGTCTGCCTCCGTGCTTCTCTCTTCTCTCTCTCTCTCTCTCTCTCTCTCTCTTCCCTCTGATTCTCATTTACTCTAGAAGTACTCTTCATTCTTCAAAGATAAGCAAATTCCTAACATATTATTATGGGATATGGCTTGAGCTTATCATGGAAGGGGGCAAGAAACTCAGTTGAGTTTGGGATTACATTTTGGCCATTTCTTTTTGTGAGAGAATCATACCTTCCATCATGAGAAGGCCCACAATCTGGTGGGAAGAATAAAACGGAATTGGAAAGATAAGAGTCCTAAGTCCAAGTAAAATGCTGTGGAAAGTCAAGCAAGGAAATGAAAACTGGGTGAGGGGAAATTGAATGTTCCTGGACAGTAATTGACTTTTGCATAGAAAGAGACATGATTAGGTAGGAAAATATTTTAAGCCAAGAGAACAGAATTTGCCAGACATCTAGAGATAATGGAAATGGGTTGGAGTCATTTTGGAGCATTTGAATACCAACAAGAGGGGTTTTGGTACATTAGTGGCAGGAAAGTCAGACCCAGAAAAATTTCTGGAATCATGGCAGTCAGCAGGTAGAATAGAAGGATGAGAGAATTTCGAGATCTAAAGAAGAGATGAGTAAAGAAACCATGGAAATCAGGAATGGGAAAGCAGGCCTCAGGGATGGGACTTTGTGATGAGTGTCTGTGTTCATTTGATTTGCAGTATGATCTGTTTGAAATAAATAAAGGTCTAGAATAAACATGACAAAGCTCTGGCCCACACAGTCCCTTTACTATGCCCTGTGCCCAAGGCATCACTAATCGATCATGGAACACTTTCCTACTGAACCCCTACAGGATTTTATAATCCTGCCATGGGTAGTTAATCTAAAATTTCAGAGAGTTTGGAGTGCAAAATGACATCTATTTGCAAACGCTGAAGCAGAGCTTCTCACACTGAAGCAAGACTTGGAATTCTATAAAAATACAGGCTCTGATCTGGTAGGTCTGAAGGGAAGTCTGAGATTATTCATTTCTAATAAGCTCTCAGAAATGCATACGCTGTTGGTCAGAGAACCACACTGAGTCAACATTTAGAGTCAAAGAATTTCAAACTCCACTTCAAAAGACCCAGGACAAACATCCACTCTGTTCTCAAACTGTATGACCTTTAACAAGGTTCCTGGCTTCTTTGACCTTGATGACCAAGTCTGTGAAGCAGAGACAATTTACATAATAATTCTGCTCAGTAGAACCAGAGAGACAAAAGAAGACCAGGGAGAGAAGTGCTTTGCAATTGATTAAGAGCTATAATTAATTAGATAGCATTATTGTTAATAATAGCATAGCACTGATGATGATTAAATACTACTAACCAACTCTTACCAGAGGCTGAGCCCTGGGTAAGTTTGCAAGTGACAGGCAGCTCTGATGAGGACCAAGGTGACTGCTAACTGTTTATTAGGCCCTAGTTAGCAGCCAGCAACCAGAGGTCAGTCATTCAGTAAAAATGTGATTCCTGAAGGGCTGTCTGGAAAGTCTTAGCCAGGACCCATCACTCTTAGAACTGTCCTGCTGTAATGCACACGTTGTGAGCCCTTAACCACAGGTTCCCAGACATCCAGTGTTTCACTGTCCAGCCAGTGTTGGATGAACACCCCATGTTCAAGAATAAACCAGTGCCTGACCAGATTATAAAGTAAGACCTGGGACTCCCAGGAGAGAAGGAAATTCCATGGGATTGCCAAGTTGAGCTGGTGGTAGGACAGGCCCTAGTGCCTTTCTAGGGTCCTCTCCTTTTTTTTAACTTGTTGTTGTTGTTCTCATTTGTTTCTATTTAGAGAAAGAAAAAGTTTATTAAAGAGAAAAGGAACAGAAATAAAGTGGGACTCCCAGCCTGATAGAACCAGTCCAAGGAGGGTCAAGGAAGCCCTGCCCTCTCCTTCTTAACCAGTCTGTTCCTCCCTTCCCTCGGGAGAAGAACCAGCCCTAATTAGTTCCCCAGCTCCACCCCTAAAAAGGCTGGAGCCAGAGAAAGACAGGAGGAACAAGGGTGGGGCTCTCCTTGCAGTGCATGGATCCCCGGCTGGCAAGGACATTGATGAGGTCCATTCAATTGGATGTGGAGAGACTGTCACTCAAGCTGGTCCTAGGGTGGCCCCCAGGAGTCCACAACAGAGAGTGTTGTTTGGACAAGGGATGCGGGAGGTGAGAACAGGGGCCATACTCTCACTGAGTCCATTTTCCCAAAGGGACAGCTTTCCAGCACTTGTTAAGGGCATGCACTGACATTACATGTGTCTAGACAATGATAAAGGGCATTAGAGGAAGCAGCATGCAGACAGGTGTCAATCTGGTCAGCACCAGATTTCAAGGTCAGTGATGAGGCCACAAGTCAGGGGCACGAGGCTGTCCCCCTCCCAGCTGCCTGGCTCATCCCCCTCAGATCCTATAGTACCTTGAGTGCCTTAGTAAAAGGCCTTTCCTCTTGGAGACTCCGTCCAAAGTAGGAGCTCCTTTGTGAGAAGGGCCCCCTTTCTTCAGGGAGAGGTGCCCCCCAAAAGCTCCCCCAGTATACATGGCTGAGCAGGTGGAATTTGACTTCTATCTGAGCCTCTCCTCAGTCAGCCACCATGGGAAACAGACAGCAGTTCTACATCTAACACAACATCCTGTTCCCATGAGAGAACTCCATAGAGATCCAGGAAAAGGGATTCCAGGGGTGACTGAGCCTCTTAAAGAAATCTTTGGAAGATAAACATGGGTATTTTGGCTAGGACCTGAGATACAGCTAGATCTTCCATCAAGGGCATAGAAAATGATGACCCAAGAAATCTGTATGCATTCATGCTAGAAATCCCACTCTTCGGATACCCTCAGACTGCTCTATTCTCATAAGGTTGTAAGACTGGTCTGGGTCCCAGTTCACCTTGCAAGAAAAGCCTGATTTTCAACTCTGCATCAAGGCCTATGCCAGCCAGGTTTACTTCAGCGGGCCTCCCCAGATAGTACAGGATCAGGTCAGGGCTCCGTGTCAGAGCCAGGCATGCTACCAGGAACTTCCATCTCTTCTTGTCTTACAGCTTTTACAAATCCAACTACGTGCAAACATTCCACTATTCCCGACCAGTGCGCAAAGGGACCGTCGACCCTGAGAATGAATTTGCCGTGAGTATCTCCCCTATCCTTGAACAATGAGCATTCCCTTAGGTCACCTTTATCAATGGGGGTGCTCCTGGCAACCTCCCAACAGGAGAGAATTGGATCCAAAGCCAGAGAAAGCAAAATTAACATCACTGATAGACTCCTTAGCCCCAGATTAAAATGTACTGGGGATATGCCCAGGGAAAGCTGAATTTCTCCTTGAGAAAGAATTCTTATGGGCAGGCTAGGGTATGTTTCTGGGTCTCGCAGCATGGTGATTTGGGGTAGACAGAGGTCTGGGTCCCCACCAGGTTTCTCTTGACTGAGAGCCAGTTTACCTCACTGTCTTGTTTTCTTTCCCATGCCACCCCTTGCTGGTGGGCAGTCCATGTGGATCGAGAGAACCTCCTTCATGACTGCCTACAAGCTTCCAGGGATCTTGCGCTGGTTTGAGGTGGTTCACATGTCCCAGGTGAGTCCGTGACCCTCAGGTCTCACCCCTCCTTGCTGACAGACAGGATTCAGCAATCCTCAGACTACCACTGACTGGAAAGGGGATAACCTTTTGTTCAAAACCATCTGGGGAGTCCCAGAATTCCAGTGCAGAAAGGGACCTGGAGAAGTATCTGCCTTCAGATTTTTTATTAAGCATCAGGTAACATTTTTTTTTTCAGATTTTTTAAAAGCATCTGTTACCTAGTTTGTTCCTTGTAAATGAAGCCACCCCTCAAATCCAATATTAAAGTTGGTGAATGGGGAGCTGTTCTGGTTGGGTACAGTGGTGCTAGAGATCCCCCAACTGAATCATCCCTCTATTCTCGCAAGCCAGCAGTCATTTGGGGCATCTCTGCAGAAATCCACTTCAAACTCATTATATGATTGGATAAACTGAGGCTCAGATAGAGAGAATGATAGAGTCAAGCCCTGGCTAGAGTGCAAACATTTTGAACTCTCATGAAGATAGCAGGTATTTTACTTCTCAACACACTTCAGAGTCAACATACCCTTAGTTGAGGACCCTGCAGATTTCAGGATACAGAAGAATGGTCAGAAACCTGAAAAGTAGGGACTTCTTCAGAGTGTCTTATTGATTTATTCATTCTGCAAATATTTAATGAGTACCTCACACACATTCAACCCTGTTCCAAGAGCTGCAGATGCTGCAATGAAATTTAAATTCTAGTTAGAAAGACTAAAAAATCAAAATAAATATATAATTTGTCATATGGTGATAACCACTATCGAGAAAACTAAAGAAAAATGAAGGAGGAAGGGTCACTGTTTTAAGTAGGGTGATTAGGAAAAGACTCCCTGCTAAAGTGACGTTGGAACAAATGCCTGGCAGACATGAGGGAGGAGTTCATGCAGATAGTAAAGAGAAGTCCCTTGCATTCTACAAGGGACTAGCAAGGACAGAGACACTGGGACCAGTAAATGCTTGCATCTGAATCAAAACAAGGCAGGATGAACAGTAGGAGCCTGAAATACCACATCATGTGGGAGCCTTCTAGGCCACCATAAAGTCTTGGCTTTTCCAGTGAGTGACTTGGACCCTGAACAGAACAGAGACGTGGCTAGTTTTGTCAGCATTGAAATCACCTCTCTCCTGTCTGGGATGTCCCCTAATAGCCTGGTAGTTCTCTAACCTCCTTTCCCAGGGACATCCTAGATCTTGGGAAACTATAATCAAGATGGTATTGGCGAACTCTGAGCAAGCGCTCAACTGTTAACATGCGTGAACCCACTGAAACCCCTCAACACTGCGAGGCCAGTGCTACTTTTCCATTTTACAGATGAATGGAACTGAGGTGAGCCGTGAGTTAGTGGGCTGTTTAAGGCCAGTGAAAGAGGTGAGGCTCGATACTAACCTGCCATACCAGGCACCTGGACTAGGCTTGCCCTCTCCTTCCTTCTCAGTGCACCCTCAGTCTATCCCAGCAATAAACAGTACCCCACAAAAGGAAGAACTACATGTGCCTTTTAATAACAGGATATTTGCTTTTGCAGATGTCCCAGGCACTGTGTCAGGGACTCTGTAGCATCACCCCCACTTCATCCTCACAAAGCCTGTGAAATACATACCAATATTAATACCAGTTTTGAATTGAGATATCACAACCTTCCTATCCTATCCACCTGCAGCCTTTACCCATTGGCTCTACCCTGTCCTTAGGAGGCGCTCAGCACAAAGCCTCTTCATCAGCTTCCTACCAGACTGCAATTAAGCTCAGGAAATCCTGTCTCCATACCAACTCACCTCCACCAGGGGATTACCCCCCCCCCCAAATAACCTAGCACCTCCTAATAAAATATGGAGTTCATCCCTGTGTTTATTTTTAAATATATTAGAATAGAGCCTAGGAAAGACAGATTTGTCTATTTTATTCCCCACCATATTTCTGAGCACCCACAATGGTCCCAGCCCCAAAACTGGTGCTCAAGTATATTTAAGTAAATCAGTGAGTCAGTTAATAGGCAGAGACCCACAATGCCTGAACCAGTTGTCCTGTGGACTGAGGATTCTGAAGATAGAAAGAAATATTCAGAACTTTTGTTTTATTCCTTTTATCCTGATACCCACTTTGGAGACTGGGAGGTTGGAAAACCTCCAAAGAGCTACCCAGAGTGAATTGAGCTCAAACAGGCCTCCCTTGGTTGAGTACCCCCAGAATATCAAATCCCAAAATTTAATGCCTGACAAGTGAGTTCATTTCCAAGCCCCTGTTTTTGTGTTACCTGAGTTTGTATCTTATTCTGTATTTTTCCTTTATGGATTGTCATGGCTATAATTACTGTTTGTACAATGTATGTTTTCTGAGGGTGTTCAGATTCTACTTATTGGGGACTTGATCTTGATCTTGGGAAATTATAATCAGGATGAATGGAACTGATTCTTGATCTTGAGAACAAGTACTTTCACCTATCTAGGGCTCTGAGAGCAAATTTAGCTTTATCATTAAGGAGCTATATATGATGCTAGACACACATTGTATATGTCTCTGGGCTCTAGTTTTCATCATATTTAAAATACAGATTGCAAAAGTGTGAAATGTCAGAGCTGAAAGGTACTCTAGAGGTCATTTAGTGGAAGAGCTACAAATTCAAGTACCTTCAGAGCCCAGCAAGCTGATGTAACTATGTGAAATAGTCACATTAAGACCATAAAGAATTTTGGTAGCTGCGCCAAACTCCCTCAAATGAATTAGATTTTCTAAAAAAAAAGTTTGAATTTGTGATGTTGAAATGATAGAGCTCTAAAGACATAGCTGGGTCTATCTACCTACCCATTTCCAAATAGCTTCATGTCTAGCCCTATTGTTTTGCATATGAGGAAATAAGGCCCGAAGATGGGACTTGAACTGCCAGGGTCATCAGCTACACAAGACAGATATCATAATGTGTGTCTAGTGCAGCTCTCAGGGTCCCCGAGGATTTAACTAGATGACATTGGGGAATTGCCTTTTAAGATGATGAGACCCCACCCCTTCCTCTTTTAGTTGATGCTTCCCCCATTCTTCCAAAGTATTGTTTTCTCATGATAATGCATTTTCCACTCACAAAAGGTTGGGCAAGGACTGCACATCTCTACTGAGACAGCTTAGGAAAGAGACTACAGGTCTGAGGGCTTGACTAAGCCCCAGAAGCCAGTTTGAGGCAAGTTTGAGAGCAGAGAATGTGTGTGGTGGGAGAAACCTGCCCTTGGAATCAGGAATACCCAAGATTCCGCCCCTGCTTTGGCACTGTCTTCCCTTGGGCAGGTGATTAACCTGTTGCTGGGGAATTAACTGAAAGAACATACCTGCCATGCCCAGAACAGGCAGCGGCACAGGAGGCAAGCGATAAATGGAGCCATGTCCTTTATCACCATCATGGCTGTTATCAGCTGCTGACGTGCAAGCCTTCCACAAATACATCTCCCCATCACTCTGCTCTGACGGTTACATCCTCATTCTACATAAACGCCCATAGGTGGGAATCCAAAGGAACTGTCATTCTCATTCTGTTCCTGTGGCTATAATGAGGCTAAGATTTGGGAATTCAAAAATAGCTTCAGAAATGAGGAAGAAAGCCAATCAATAGGACTTTCCATTTTTAATAACTGCTTAAAGCCGCGTCTTTGAGACTTGCCACGCTATTATTAAAGTCCAGGTGTGGCGGTAGGCTCCATCCAAGTGGTCGTGATGGATTTTCCTTAGAACTCAGTTTAGATCTGGCCACAGAAAGGCCCCTGCAGGGTGCAGAGAAACTAGACCACAGATTGCAGCTTATGGGATCTGGATGGCAGCCCCACAGGGCCAAGCAGCCTCCCACTCCAGTTCACAGCATATGTGTGGACATGTGATGTGTTTGCATGCACATGTGTGTGATCACATGTGTGTAAGAATATGTAGCTATGTTTCTATGAAGTTGTATATATACTTGTGTGTGTGTTTCTACTCTGGGGCTCTGTCCCTGCAGAAAGTAGCCATCTCCAAAAATGTCCACAAACAAGGGAAAAGGGGCCAGGAGACTAGGATTTCACAGGGATACATTGGTTTAAAACAATGACCAAGAATTTGCTTAGAGAGCCTGACTCTGGTCTTTTCATATCCCAGAAGCAATAATAACTAGCAGGTTGCATTAAAAAAAAAAAAAAAAGAAGAAGAAGAAGAAAGAAAGAAAACAAAAGCCTCTGTGATTAGTGTCATCTTGACTATTCTTTACTGCATGCCCAAGTAGGTAGGCATGGATGATAAAGTATAAGTTCCCTTCCTCCATGAAGTTTTCTTGGATTGCTTAACCCTGCCCTCTGGCCCACACTTCACCCAGCCAATAACTCTTCCCTTCTTAGGACAACTGCTATTCCCTGTCCTTATAACTACAAAAGTTAATAATAAAATAGCTACCATCCATCTGAAAGTAGGTTTTCTTATCTTCATTTTTCCATGAGTCAACTGAAGCTCAAGAGTTAGGAAATTTACCCAAGATCACACAGCTAGGAAAAAAAGCAAACGTGGCAGAACTGAGATTTGCAATTCAATTTTAATTTATTTAGTATGGTTCAGGGGTCAGCAAACTTAATGGTCTATGGGTCAGATTCCACCTGCCACCTATTTTTGTAAATAGTTTTAGTGGAGCAACAGGCTCCTGTATTTACATATTACCAGTAGCTGCATCTGCTCCTGATAACAGCTCTGAGTGGTCGCCACAGAGACTGCCTGATCCATAGAGCCTAAAATATTTGCTATCTTGTTATTTGCAGAAAAAGTTCGCAGGTCACTTATTTGGTTTGCTATTCCAGAGCCCCTTCTCTTACAGAGCCATACTTTGGCCAGTTAGGACTTGATAGTGTTGTTTCTATTGCTTTCTAAGACATGTTGGGGAGGCATTAGTTTATTTTCTCAGCTGAATAGATTCAGAAACTGAATCTACCTTGGAAGTGGCCACCTCATACAGCAGGCTTAGGCCCACGATGGGTCAGGCTGGGTGACCCATTGCCAGCTATCCTCATCTCGCTGGGACCTCACACACACAGTGTGCTAGCAGTAGTGATGATTTGTATCGAAGCATGTTTTCACTGGGAGATAGGAAGAGAAAACCTTCCCTGGAACACCCAGCCTGTGAAACCCAGCACGTACCTGACACTTCCTGCCTCTGCCTCCCCAGGGAAATCTCCTTCTCACTAAACAGTAAGTCAGCCTGTCTCTCCCCAGACAGCAGGCAGCCCCCAGAGCTCACTAATTGCAATAAGAACCCACTACAGTCTCTTGGGATGATCGCCTCATTTGATTTCCAACCCCAAAATGAAATCAATACCAATCATTATATCTATTTTTAAAGTGACCTACTAAGGCCTTTCCTTCCTGCAATCTCATTTCAACAGACCACAATTAGCCCTCTGGAGAATGCCATCGAAACCATGTCTACAGCCAATGAGAAGATTCTGATGATGATAAACCAGTACCAAAATGATGAAAGCCTCCCCATTAATCCTCTTTCCATGCTTCTGAATGGGATTGTGGACCCTGCTGTCATGGGGGGCTTCGCCAAGTATGAGAAGGTAAGAGCTTCTACCCTGTAGAACAGTGGAGGCAGAACAGTGGCAGGCAGGTCCAGGGGGCATG